ACCAAGAGAGAATTATAGTTGTGTAAACCCCAATCGGCAATAATTATAAAACGGCGAACAATAACTATAGCGAAGGTAGTAAAGATAAAACACAGGTACGTTTTGTACGTACCGGGTACGTCCCTAGTAGGAGATAAAGCCGAGATTGTACTGGAGAATATTTAAATACGAGCTGAATATTTGCTTTAACTAGGTTGTAACGGTCGATTCCTGCCTCGCGAACGGATGTTAGCGCCCATAAACTGAGAGATAAGGCCCTCAGCGCGGATGCTGCTCGTACCTATACACTGACTGACACATTATTGCGTGAAAATCAATTTTCATACGATTTTATACGTAACACACGCCCAGGTATTGTACTGACCGTTATTACGTGATATTGCACATAAAAGTTCCCTTCATCCGAATTCTTTAACCTTCGCAACATTTATGGCTGTCTTCCTACACAGCCATTGTGTCTTAGAAAATAAAAGCGAATATTCCTAAACATATAACATAACAGTAACGTTAAGTGTAGGTACGAAGAGGAACGAACAAGTTTATTTTCTTTGAAATTTTCCTCATATGTGCGACGAAAATTATTAATTTTGAATATTCATATTTTATGGCTTCATAACAAAATAATTTGGTGCCTTCAAAGGCCAAAGTTCGTGTTAAAGAACGTAAACGCAAATAAATACACAAATATATTCCTTCACAAAACATGAAATTCGTATTATATAGCCGAGACTTTGTTTGATCTGTGGTCATGTGCTCCTCGGCAAAGGAAAATCCTCCTTTCTTTGAATTGAGGCGACCACAATATGCAACATGATATGCATTTGTTTAAGTTAACCGATTCAACTCCATTTATATGAACTAACTCAAGCATAAGTATTTTGGTAATAAATGATAAACTATAATTAAAAGTTCAAAAGAAAAAAAATATTTTTTTTCTATTTGCGAATTGCAAATACAATTGTACTCCAAACAAATAATAACAATATTGAACATTTGGCACTCCCAGCGATATCCTACCGCTAGAAGTTACGATATATTTAAAAAGTTAATCGGAATAAACACTAAAACTAAATTAGATAATCTAATTTTCTAAAGAGAAATTATATATCAAACACACAAAGCTTCTATGCTTTAAACCAAAAATATAGACAATACTGAGAGAGCAACTCCCATTGTGGCGTCACGTCTTTGTTCACCTATCTATGAATCCTATCGCCTCTCCTTATTACATTTGGGCGTACATTCTGCGGATTCAATGGCCACGGTTTGCTGGGAATGGTACTCAATACAAAATATGCCTTTACCCTCACGATGACAGTATTTTTACGATTCGAGGAACATATTCCAAGGGACTAAAATTTGCGTTTGCAATGAGTGGGAATCCCTGTTTTTTTTTTCGATTTATGATACATGTAGTACTTTAAATATTTTCTTTACTTATACTGATTTCAGGTTTCATAAATGAGCTGTATCAAAAGAGAACTTTTAGGCAATCATTGCCTCCAGATCTGGCAACAGCAACGAAGTAGAAGGAAATGAAAGTCATAAGTCGGACCATATGAGTGCGGAGTTCGTTACCGGGACCCATCAGTTCCGGCCATGTTACGAGCCTTCGAATTTGCGTGCAAATAAAATTGCCAGCCACATCAGTATCGAACAAAACTGGACTACCCGAGAGACGGACGTAAAGCGGGGTTGGATATAAAATGTGGACTCGCCCAAGTCATCTCCTGCGGATGTTTGCAAGTAGGGACGTAGACGCATAAACAACCTTATATGTCGTTTGGGCCGAGATTTTCGTAAATAGTTTTGTGTACAAAAAATGTTACCTTATACTCTATGTACCTACGTTGCTTGCCATGACGACTTATATCTACTAGTTCTTTAAACCAAAAAAATATTTATTCATGTAGTTATCTAACAACTTAGAAAATCTCGACCGATAAATTCTATATTTACTAAGTAAAGGCAAAGTAGCTACGTGAAATTTAATTATAATATGCATCTATAATGTAGATACCTATCATTGTACAAAAATACACTATTAGCAAAACAATTATATTGCGACTCTACATTGAATGACTATTTCATGTCTAGAAAACCAAATCGTAAACCCGTCAAGAACTTGAAGAGTGTAAATAAAATAAAGGCCTCAAATACAAGCCGTTTACCATTGAAGAATACTACCTACCAATTGCGATAATATCTATTCGCCAGTCATACTTTTAGCTTGCGGCGATTCTGTGTGGCCGCGGCAGCAGATTTTATAAGGCATAAACCCTGAGATAGCGGCAGTAAAACTTGGAACTGAGGCAATATGCCAGCTCCCTATTGCCAGTTCCATTGCTTTGTTTTAAACTGAGTAGGAGGGCGATACCTATGGCCACACGGCGAACATGACTCAGTAGACTTAATCGCAACAACACGATGACACATTCCAATGTAAAATTAACGTCCATACATCTTTTGTTTATCAGTAACATCGATGTTCGGTCACGCATTAATGGAAACGTATTGCTGACGTTAGAAAAACCTAAGCAAACAAGACACATGAATAATTTAGTGCCGCTTGTTGGTATTACTATAATAAAAGCAAAGACTGCACGAATAAGAGTAACAGCTAATGTTATAAATGTGTCAGCGGAAATATTTACTTGAGAGAAACTACAAAAAACAAATTATTATGAAAAGCTACCAACAGCGAAAGCATTATTTGTAAGTAATATTTTGATACCACAAATATGATATCATAACTTTTTATGGCAAAAGCAAATAGTGTCATCAGTTTCCTGAATGGTCCTAAAGAAGTATCACTCTATTACGACGGAATAATGCCAACCCGCCCAAATCCGTTTATCGCTACAGTGGTAAGACTCTCCGGGAGGCGGTTCAGCTTGTTTAGATACAGTGCACTCGATATACTCTGTTCAAATTGCGAATTTCGACATCATACTGAAGTAGCCGACAAAAAGAATACAGTGATAATGTTAAATATAAAACCAAGCTCTGAGAGACTTATATTTTTATTAAGTAAAGAATTTTGAGTAGTTTATTATCAGAGCCAGAGTACTTATACCTTACCACTTTAACATTTTGTATTGCTAAAATGACACACAACATTTTCTAGAATTGATTAAAACATCTTTCTATCCGAGTATCGGCGAATATTCCTAACAAATAGTAAGTAATGTTTATTGGTTGAAATATAAATGCACGATATACGAAGCGTGACGACAACGATACTAACTCCGGGCTATGTACGCTCGTAAATTGAGGAAGTAACCGACCACTAGCGTTCGAGCCGCGACCGGCCTTCCGATTTGGGTACAAATAAAACGAACATTTTATCAACCGCAGAGTAAAATACTGACTACTGAAATAAATACTCATAAAACAGCATTGATAACTTTTAATAAACCAAAGGTTTAGTTACATAAAGTGTATTTTAGAAAATAAACAAAAATCAGAAATATGTCTGTTGGGATTGGGATCATAATAAATTAGACGCCATGCCTAATGCTACCTAACATAAATACTAAATCATTTCTTGATATGCTCAGTAATACCAAAATATGGACAAGTATACTTTTTGTCACCTATTTTATCTATGGACTTATAGTAAAGTTTTATTTTATTAAACGTTAGAAAATCACTTGAGAATAAACATCATCGTTCACCTTGATAACACACACGCACTTCAACCCCACTTATTATATAAATTCAAATCATAAACCCCATTTATATTATAAATTGGGTGAGAGCCCCCGTACGTTCCCTGCCTCGCAAACTCAAATAAAGAAAGTGATGGAACGCTTTGAATCCTAGCGAGTGGATCCTTCTTCTTTGAAAATTCTAAGTCGGTTTGCAAGTAAGGTTTAGATTGAGCCTTGTCAAGTAATTGAAGATTATTTCCAGAAGTACTTTTTCAAACAACCTGAAATTGGTATTCAGCAAAATAAAAGTAGTAATGATGAATAAGACGTAAAGTGCCGAATTATATGGGCGTTCAAATATTATAAGCTCGATTAGTTTTATGGCATTAGGGAATATGATTTATTCGGCTATAAGTTGTTGGACTTATCTAACTATTTTGTTCCGACCGCCAGAGCCCACTTTAGTTCCACGTAAAACTCGGATCTATACGATTAAAGATTTCATCCCTCGATATTGGACGATCGTAATATTTTAACGATACCCGACCCTGCAGCAACTCCTTTGTTTTACTGCCCTTATTTTATTATTTATCGAAACATTTGATATAAAAGAGCCATTATTTACAATTTTATGCGATAATTTATCACCCTAACCTGCAAATAACAGTTGTAGCACTTTTAAAAAATATCAAACACTTTCACGACACATGTGCGATGAAGTGAGTTCTAATAAATTGTCCTAATTTTTACGTTTACGGCATAACTTTGATATATTCAGTGCCTATTATTGCTATACAGCATATAGTACCTACAAATATTTTGTAAAGTGAGATATGAGTACAAAATATTTTTTTAGGTTTATGAAACGTAAATTCGTTATGATAATTTTCGAAAAAGAAACAAGAAAACATGGAACAACTGAAGAATACTGAAACAGAAGAAAGGTCTATGATTGGTTCTCTATTAACTTGAAAGACAATTTGAAACTGCTGTAGGAACAAATATAATTAGCTTATGAAGTATCGTGGGCGTTTAATTTAACGAGAGCATCCCCATCATATGGATGGTTGGCAGGCCACAAGTGTGCGCTTATCACGTAGCTTTCTGCCTCGCACAGCAAAACTGTGAAATGATCTGTCTTCGGCGGTATTTCCAAACCGATATGACCTTCACACCTTTAAGAAAAGAGCATATTCCTTTGTTAAATTGACAGACACCAAGCGGTCACCGGTGACCGCTTGCTATTGTTCTATAATTCACGGGCAGCATAATTCCATGGGCAGCGCTGATCGCTTACTATCAGGTGATCCATCTGCTTGTTTGCCTCCTATTCCATAAAAAAATGTATATAAGTACAGAGGAAGACAGAAAAATACTGAATAATGCATGCAAAGTATTAAAACGTTTAAAGGAATGTTTCACTAGAGTAGTTTGATTAGCTGAATTGACGTCTATAGAAAGAAATAAGAACACTGTGGTAGAAATGAATGTAGGTACATTCATTTCTACCACAGTGTTTTGAAAATCATTCATTAGATATTGGGAAGTCTGCAGTCAAAATGTACAATAGAGGTTGGTGATACGTTGGCGACTACACCCGTTGTTCTCTAAATAACGATTGACTGTTACAATTTTACTTTTCAGGTATCACTTTGACTCATTAATTGAGAATGATGAGAATGAGAAAACGTTGTAACCTGATAGATAATGAATGAAGCAATCAAGCAATGTTTGAAATTGTATGAAAGAAGAGGATGTAAAATAAGATGGAGCGTTGTAAATGGTCTACCTATCCTCATGAGACGATAATAACTGCACGGTTGGGGCTGAAGCTGGGCAACCTAATGCCGACCCTCGACACTGGAGAAATTACTAAAGTGAGGCCATTTTTTTAAATAAGAATATAGTGTAAACTAATGTATGTAAGTTATTGGAACATTTGTAATTCATCAGTTTATTCATCTGTAAAAAAAAACTCTCTATCATTCACTGTGAGAGAAAATTACAACTTGGTGACAGAACTTTTAGTAATAGGGTCCTGTTATGCCCATTGGGTACGAAACCACAAAAAATGCTTAAGTTTATATTGTAAATAATAATTATGTTTAATTAGCAAGCATTAACTAGTTGTAAAGTTGTTAAATTGTAATGATATCTTTAACTAACGAGTTCTCATTAATTAATTATATTTGTTAATGCTGGACAATGTCATTCACAGATTATATATTTACAGGTATAAAAGTAAAGGACTCACAACAGAATTTGTATTCCTGCATCAGTGTCGTCTTTGTTCAACTCGCTTGAAAGATGAGGACCTTAAAATCTGCAATAGTAATGCCTAAATTCACGTGTGGCCTGTGCTCGAGGTCATATTCAAATTACAAGCATATGTTGGAGCATATGTATTGGCGACACGGGACAGAGAGCTTTTGGTGCAAGCAGTGCACAGTAAAGCGCTGGCGACACGCTCCGCATCTCTGTCACGTGTTGCCGATAGATGTGACCGACAATGACTTGAATTCGGAATCCCCGACTCAAGAAACGCGTGAATCCGAGTATTGCTATTGCGGAAAGGACATCCCGGATTCGCCGATGATAGGCTGTGATGGACCAAATTGTAAATTCAATTGGTTCCATTACTCCTGCGTCGGCGTAATTACGGCCCCAGAAGGAGACTGGTTTTGCCCAACATGCATCAAATTAAAAACAAAAAAAGGTAAGTTTTGTTTATCTGAATCGTACGTTGAAATTTCGAAAGAAGTTGGAGAAAGTACCTATATTATATATTAGGTGTATGCAATGTACTAAAATAACAACTTACTAACAAATATTTTTCCATTTTGCAGGTTGATCCAGTTGAGCTGAAGTTATAAAATGTGACACTGAGTTTGAAGAAAACCTCGAAGCAGGCTGTTTGAAGAAACACAGGTGAGAGTCATGTTTTTCTTATTCAGAATAGAAATAGTAGATAGTATGACAAACTTAGTACATAGCTCAATTCACTTTATACATATGTACGTATAATAAAACGGGAGTGTTGTTTTCAGATAACCTACCAATTTATACAATTGGGTAGACGTTAATTTTTATTTTAATGTTCGCCTGGTAGATCATTTAAAAACATTAGACACGTATTTTTTATTTTGTTACGGAAACGAATAGTTTCGAATATATATTGAATTGAAATATCGCAACACGTCACTATTGAGTACGATTTATAGGTACTCTAAATTGACGTAGCTACCTCCCACTCTAAGTATTGTTTTCATCTACGACAAAATAAAAAATACGTGTCTAATATTTTTTCATTACCTAACTGACGGACTAATTACATTTTTAATATCCATACCCTGTCATCATCCCTATTAAAGTACGAGAACTTATTTGGTTATCCAGTTCCAATAGATTTATTTAAAAAAGTTTCCTTTTTTTCTTTCCAGGATGGAGATCACCCCGGCGGTTGCAGAAAATGTTATAAAATCAAGTTTATTATTGTTATGTTGTATATCAAAACTGACAAATTACATGATTTGCAAAAATAATATGATTTTATAAAATTTTATTTCTTTTCTTTTATAAAATAGACGGACATATTACATCATCAGCCCAAGAAAGTCCACTGTTGGAGTAAAACTAAATTGTGCTTAATTACCATGGTACATTTTTAATAAAAGTTAATACAAAAAGACATATATTTAAACAGATTGTCATCAGACCACTATAGACTGATGGTGGAATAATGGAATTATTGCATTACATCGTTAGGGTTCTATAATGATACTTATAATATAACATAACATTACGCCTTTTTATCCCTTAAGGGGTAGGCAGAGGTGTACATTACGGCACTTAATGCCACTGTACAACGTAACACCCACTTTTCACTATTTATGTTATGAGTCCCATGTAATAGGGGGTGAGCCTATTGCCATGTACCGGACACATTTCCAGAATCCGTGCTACTACTGAGATTTTTAAAACCCTGTAATACTTTGCCCGACCCGGGAATCGAACCCGGGACCCCTTGCCCGACAGTCAGACAGACAACCGAAATCTAACTTAGGCGGGACTGAAACATTATAACTAAAATGTTATAATATAATAGAAACAATAATGCCGTATGCCGCCAATATTATGAATTATGAACGCCCATAAATGCTCATACCACACGTACTAGCTTCATTTGGTCCACTATAGACTCATATCTACTGCTGTCATATTACATTAGCAGACATATATATATAGTTATATAGCGACATAATAAATACGAAAATAAACGTAAATATAATAATATCATTGTCATCTTTGATACAAATTATTTGTGATACTCACACTCACCCATACTGTACAATATGGGTAAATAATATGTTGGTACGTGCTCGAAAGTAAGACACGTCTTAGTACATTCGTAATGACTCGATATATTGTTTCCATTACACGCCGAGGTCATTAGTGTATTGTTCTTTAACGTCTCATTCAAAATTATGTCTTTATCTGCATGGATCCGAATGCTGATCTATGAAAAAGACGTTGTTTAACTAAGGATCGAGGTGGTCGGATGTTCCTTCACATCGTCATCACACATCACCTTAAAGGTAAGTGCCCACTGCTGAGAAGAGGCCTCTTCACACAAGACGTTAGTGGCCTTCCTCAGCAGTCTGCAGCGGGTAATAGAAGTCATTTTTAATTTTCTTTTATATTCTTTGTAAGTAGTTTTTAAGTTTTATAATTTTAAATTTATATTTGTAATAAAGAGATTTTTTTCATTAAAAATACATTAATACTATTTTATCATTGCTTACTCGAACAAAACAAAATTTTGTAACAATTTATTGATAAATATTAAATATTATGTACTTATGCGCGTACAAAATTTCTAATTTAATGACGTTAATTCAATGGAAACGTGCCGACGATGCTCGCTGCATCAGCATTTGCAGAAATACTTTATAAATATAAGTGCATCGTAAATATAGCACGTAATCAAACAAGTAGCTTCAACAACAGATAAAAATGTCAGAAAATGGAATTCCGAGCATGGCACTATTACATGATTTTTTACTTTGTGTTTATTAAGTGTAAGTGTTAATTTCGTGTGAATCTAGTTGTAAATACTACCTCTAGCATATTATAACCGAAACCTGACAAATATCTTCAATAGACTTTCGACTTTATTACAAACTAATAAAACTCGAAATCTATTGAAGACATTTGACTATTGAGACTAATATAAAACATTATTGCATTGTGATTTCAGATCTGGAAGCGAAAACGATTTCCTTGAACGAGCTGATTGCCGCAGAACTGCAGCAGAAAGAAGCCTTCGAAACGACATTTCCACCTAAACCAGCAGGTAAGTGAACTTTACATTGTGGTATGTAATGCAGGTAAGTGATTTAATAATAATCATGAACTAATAGGAGAAGCGTAACCATGGAGTTCAGAGGCCTTAGTAGTAGTACGAGTTTATTCGAAACGAGACGGCATTTTGTTTGATTGGTTTGTTCATTGGAGCCGACCAATCACAGCGCTGAACGCGTACTCGTTACGTTTACTTTAAACGTAAAATAAACTACTAAGGCCTCTGTTCATGGGAATCTACACATTTGTATGTACAATAGCTTTTTACGAGGAGTGCCGAGTGACCAATAGGCAACAGCTAAGGGAGTAATTATTTTCAACTCTAGATGCATTCATGTAATTGCTCGATTAGTAAAGTGGCTGGGCAACTGGCTGTGGCGCACGTCACGGGTTTGATTCCCGCACGAAACAACTCTGTATATGATCCACGAAATAGTAGTTCCAGGTCTGGGGCTGCACAAATTTTTTGCAGTTACCTATTATTAAATGTGTGTGCTAATTCATTGACAACCCTGAATTGAAAATCGATGTAAAGACGTGTCATATTGGAAGCGAGCATAGTTTAAAACACGATAACAATTTCAGACTCCATGTTGTTAATGAAACTTTCGAAAATTCCACTCGCAAATGCTACTGCGAGCCGCGGAGAACCTAACCGGTTACCGGGGCTCCGTCTAGGAATTGTGGCAGGTAGATGAAAATAGACTCATTCAACACACGAGGCTTACGTCGTAATTAGTGAAAAAGAGTCGAATTCACACCACTTGAACGAGGCAGAAAAAATAATAATTACGTGGAGGTAATTGTCAATACCAAGCTTACAAAAAGGCATATTTATAAAAAACTAATAAGTTCTAATTATCCCCAGTCTTGGTAAACAAACTCCCACACAAATGAGATCGAGTATCACCACGATATCAGTTATCACTGTTTTACTATTTATAATAATCTAATTAAAACTTTCTTCCCCATTTTTAGATGAATAACGTGTTTTATGTGGATCTATGGTTTTTATTGTTAAGCGGATCTGATAAAATATCGAGTATTCACAAGCGCGATACACCAACAGGGAGTCTCAGGTTCGATTCCTGGGTCACTATGGCATTAACGATTAACGTAAATATTATGACGGATAACTCAACTGCCTATCTAGACTGCCTCGTTGGCCGAGTGGTTGTAAGTATGACTGCCGGGCAAGGGTTCTCGGGTTCGATTCCCGATTCGGGCAAAGTACTACTGGGTTATTAAAAAATTCTCAGTGGTAGCACGGAGTCTGGATTTGTGCCCGGTTAATGGCAATAGGCTCACTCCCTATTACATTGGACTCATAACATAAATAGTAAAAAGTGGGTGTTACATTCAGTGCCCTAATGTGCACCTCTGCCTACCCCCTTGGGGATAAAAGGCGGGATGTTATGTATAACTTAACTGGCTAAAGCTACATAAGTTTACATTACACCTAAGGAGCAGAAAGTAGGTACCTAGTTATTATGTAATAGCTAGGTACTTTCTGCCCCTTTAATCTTTAATCTCTTCGCGGAATTAAAGCGAGATAATATAGATCATGAGAACTTAGTTCATAAAATATGACGCTGCGCTATTTATTTACCTTACCTCCTACCTAAGTAGATACTATGAACTAGTTAAGTTATTCAGCTTAATGCAACACACTAAACTGTAATGCTACTCGCAACACTAGTGTCACATCTTCATGGCAAATACATACATTTAAATATTTATGAAAATTAATAGTAATTATAAAAAAATTCTTTTGTTTCAGTAATCACACACAAACGTCCCTATCTCATTAAAGCACCAAGGCCTTTTGCAAGGATAAAACAAATTCTAGACTCCGGTTTATCTATAGGTGAGTGCACCACAAATCTTAAAAAACTTACAATTTGCATGTATAGAGGTATATATTAAAACTTTCGTGAGACATACTACCTAATTAGGTGTTATGTTTTCGGCTTACTCATGTTACTGTTTGCCAAAGAACTCGACTAGTTTCAAGCCATGCCAGAGGCTTCATTTCCTATGTGCTAATAATTCACTATCTACCAACTTAACGTTGTTTTCACTTTTCAGTTAATAAACCATTCGAAGGGAGCATACTATCACCACTCAAATACAAAAAGACTTATCTGATCAAAAGTCCACTTAAACCAAAAAAGTTGAAACTCCTACAAAAATCTCGATATAAACATAAAAATCAGTCAACGAAGCGTGAGATTAATGGAAATGAGAAGCTCAAACAAAAATATATTCCACTTCTCAAAAGTCTTAGTATGTTGTTTGATAATCTTCTCAATTCAGACGCAAGCGAGTCTTACGAAGTCAAAACAAAGAAGTTTAAGCGGCATCGATTCTACTCCGAAGAGACATTTGAGGACATCTCTAGTGCAGAACAGCCCAAACCTGAATTTTCAAAAAAATATTCGCAAAAAAAGACAGTTACTGTTACCCCGACTACCACCATTGAGGTCTCGGTTATTGCCGAGACTCCCACCACTGCCGCGACTACCTCCACCACAACCGATAATACTGCCACTCGTGACTTCAGCACTATCAGACGGAATAAGAACCTACCCGTATTACTTGCAAGAGATACCTGTAGCGGTCGGCGAAACGATAATGGAATCTGTGAGGGAAGCAGCGCCACACTTCACGGAAACATTGAGGGAAATATCACCAGGCATTATAGAAATCATGAACATGTTTCCCGATGCGCGGAGAATGACTCCTGTACAGAAGATGGTGAAGAGAATACCGACCGTGATACACGAGACAGTGCAAGAAGCTCTGGATTCGCAGGACCTGTCGGAAATCGAAATAATACAGGACTTATACAGCGAGGAAGTGGAACCAATAGTGAAAATTTCTCGAAAATTGAGACCACCTATGACGGCCTTCGAGAAAATCAATTCGAAATTGGAAGAAACGAAACAACGGGCGGAAGAATTCTACAAGAATCTCTTCGAAGATTACGAGGATTCTCCGAAGATATTGACAAAACCACAGAGCCAGTACAATCCAAAGAAGTACATGAAGAAAGCATCAATGTCACACACGATATCGCCAGTTATCAAAGAGTCGCTGACAGAGGTGGCTCAATTGCCAAAGAAAATAAAAAAATTCGTGAAGGAAATGAAAGAATGACGTT